TATGAATGTGAAAAGTTACAGTGAGGTTGTGGTGAAAATCTGATGAAATGTAAGGAAATGCAACTTGACTGTCTGCCCGTTAACATCACGAATGTTGCATCAATTCACATTTAAAGTAGTGATATAAGCATGTGAGGATAGAGAAATCCTCAAGCACTGTCACACTGTTCAGGTTTCACATTAATTTACTGTACATATTACAGTCAGACAGGTGTACAGTTACAGGTATTTTGATGACCCCCGTAGTGTAGCTGACAACACGTCAAAAGGAAAGAACATACAGGGCTGTTCGAAGTATGTGTGTGTGTGTCTGTTAGTGGGTTTGCACCGGTTGTTTTAAATATACTGTACATATCTTTTCTCCCACTGTCGCTGGGGTAGAGTTGGCAAGCTTGGCAATCAAGGGTGACTTTCTCTCTCTCTCTCTCTCTCACACACACACCACACACAAACACATATAAATTCCACCCTGCATCCAGATCATCTCATAAATATCACACACATTCCCACACAGCTGCTATCAGGTGGCTGTGGCTCCGGTTGCTGTGTCCACTAAGACTTTACAGGATGTTTGACCTATTCTGACTGTCAGAGCAGGCAGCCTCGAGCTGGCCAAGACTCCTCTACTATTCCAAATATCAAATACCAGCATCAGCGATAACCACCAGAACTGCTCCGAGTAATGTACAACCTGATGTGTGTATGTGTGTGTGAGTGTGTGTGTTAGTGCAATCATCACAGTGTTTCTTCTGCATTTTCGTGTCAAAACCTTGTGGATTAGGAGGTTATGGAGGGAGTTTGACCCTAGATGACCCCAAGCCATCGTACTAGCTATAAAACACTCCTCATCTCCTGCTCCCCCTGCTCCTCTTTACTGTTTAGCTTCTTTTTTCCTTCTCTTCTTCCTACTCTTTTTCTCTATTTCCTTTCTTCATAACCTAAGGTAAAGCAGAACATAAGTACATGGAAAAAATATGTGTACAATATGTTTGGAATTATAAAGACATATTGACAATTATGATAAATATAAATATATTTTAATTAACTCAAATGAGCTAATATTTAAATTATTAGAATTGTGTATTATGAGTCATTTTCATTTCATTGTCATCTACAAAGCATCTACTGATTACTATTTTTTATATAAATTAATTAAATAAAAGACACAAAGACATTTCGTAAAAATAGAAAAACACACTAGCTGTCACAATATCTGCCTCACTTGTGTACAGCCCTGCTCATTCTGCCTCTCTGCCACATTTCCACTTTCCTACAGGTGACAGGGTTCCAGGAAAATGCTGTTTCCTGGAACCCTGTCACCTGTACCTGCCTGCCTGCCTCTTGGTTTCGGAAGCCTTGTATCTTAGTTTTGTGAATAAATAATGCAAGCACTGATCTCAGTTTAAATAATATGATAACAAAGTTTGTTAATTATCACTTTACCCATCTTAGATCAAATACTCTAAACAAGAAAAAGAAAGATGGGAAATAAAAAGAATACCCTTTGAAGACACAAAATTCTAATGTTTAGTGTCGATGTCTTAGATTAGTAAAACATTTCCTGTTCCATCATTGAGCTGAAAAAAATTTCTTAATTATCTACATATGGTCAGTTATCTGTGGGAAATATAGTGGACAACATGGCCCTTTTTTCGGTGAAATGGGCCAGAAAGTGAAACAAGTCATAAAATTGGGGGAAATAGAAAGAACACTGGAGCTTTGTTGGTATTGTAATTTAGGAGAACATGGACATGACTTCCACACTGCCAAGAATCTATGATTTATGTAAGCCTACCATCTGTTGCCACAAAATATGTTGCACAACTACCAATGAGTCAGATTGGCTATATGGACATCTACGATGTCACAGACACACACACACACACATAGTAAGATGGATACCGGTGGCGAACTCACAGAGGCTCATATGAACGATGGATGAGGTGAGAGAGAAGACTGCTGATCTCCTTACTCCCACTCAGAGTGACCTGAATATACCCTAGAGTGCACACACACACACACA